AGGGTACGAAAAGTGCAAAAACGCATAATCGCACCGGCCCGCCTGGTGCGTTCCAGCCTGGGTTCTAGTTGCTTTGACCAATGTTGCATCGTCTGGTAGTGGTAGTCCTTACGTTGTCTTGAAGGGATTATCAGTTCAGTGGTCGCTTGCAAGCGATTCTTTTAATGCAGAGAAATTCATATAACCCAAATTGTAGGCGAGACAACAGCGAAGGACTGAATCGATGGCTTGCTGGCGAGGATCTAATGACGGATGTTCAGGCAGCCAAAAAATTGATTCAGCGAGCTCGTGTCCATCTTTCATCGTCACTCAGGTTCTTTCATTTGTTTACGATTAACATTTATACAGTAATCCAGTTCGTCTCGACTTTAGCCTTGAAGTTTTTGGGTTCTACTGGGATTCAGTGGCTAGAAGCAGATACCTCGGTCCTTCCCCCTTCCTTCTTTCCTTGTTCCACTTGGAGCCTGTAATCATATGCATTCTTGCATATATATTTTGTTTCTAATGTTTAGATAATTAAGCATAATTTAACACAGTGATGATGATTTTGTGAGGGTACTGGGAGGCGTCACTCATAGATCAAAATTTGAGAATCCGATTCCGCCACTGAAACAACCAGCCCTTCTACAATTCGTTCATTCGTTTCGATAGTATTTGTTGATATTGAAGCAGGCCCTTAGCTTGTTTTTCAAGCAACCCTCGAAAAAATAAGCCTTCTCTAGCCTGTGTAAAAAATAACATTTGGCAGTGTGGTACCATTTAGTTTGCTTTTAGGACTTTCGCTGAAAGTAATATATTGGGGGCTTTTCAGTTTTCAAATTTTGCTTATCAGCACTACTTTTATTAATATGTGCTTGTTTTAACTTGCCTCATTTTTTGAATTTTATTACAACGGCAATTATTTTACTTTCTCTAACGGCAATTATTTTATTAACGCATTTGCGGTGGACACTAACTGGAGGTATATAGCCCAGGATCGAAAGGCGCTGCATTACTGTGCCCAGAGTGTAGGAGTATCCCAGTAATAACACTAAAATGGGATACCAATGCGGATTTCCCGAACTGTCTTAGTATTATTCTTGGCATATCTAAAATTAACCTAATCACATCGTTAGCGATCAAATCTAGGAAGGCAAAGTGCTGTGAAGTGTACTCTGAACTTGCAAAAACAATATGTGTTTGTATACCTAAGAAATTTGTCTAGGAGAAAAAAGCGTGAAATGGATGCAAAATTTTGAATGTTTCGATTATTGTGTTAAATCAGATCGATAAAATTTTTGATTAAATTCCAGAACTTTTGGTATATTTTCGGAAACACAGATCAATAGCCTATTCGCAGCTGTATCTGCAGCATCCGAAGTTGAAAGTTCTCCAACAGAAATGAAGCATGAAAATGATCAAAAAACTATTATAAAAACGAGCCAATCCAAAACTGATGATTTGGAATTAACTTCATGCGATTTTTTCAGTGTTTGTTAATTTTTTGATAAGTCTTCTACCCCATAAACTCGTTTGACTGGTAGAATCTGGTTTTTGCGGATTTCGAAATGGATTTGTTGAAGTAGGCGGTAGGCCAAAATTCCCGT